GAATTCGTGCTCCATTTCTCAGCTGGCTGGTTCTGCTAGTAGGCCTGGACAAATACATTGACATTTGAATTTAAGGTGACATTGAGACTTAGGTAAAAAATATTTGAGAATAGATTCAGAAACCTCTACAATGCAAAAGAAATATTACATAGAATAAATAAAAACGTTCTGATAATGAGAACATATATATGTGTATATGTGTATGTATAAATGTTATATGTTATCTGTGTTACTGATTACAAAATTTATGTAATTTCATATGTGTCAGCATCAGTCTGAAGGATTCTTCTGTGCTCCAAAGGAAAGGGAAAAGTGAAGCACAAGGAAAGAAGGGAAAGGGTGTCATGTGGCAAACAGTATTTCCAGGGCATTCATTCTTAATGTGGTAAGTGCAGTGGTAAGAGATGACTTAGAGGGTCACTATTGGGTGCCATTTCCCACACAGGTGCACACAGGGAGCAGGACAGAGCATGGGCAGAACTGAGTACATCACTCCCTCTCATACCACTGGCCACCCCAGCTTAGCCAGGTGACATCTAGTCTGGACCAACTTTCCTACTTCTGAAATAAGGAGAGGCTAGAAATTGAATCCTAGGCTGCAGTTGCTCTTTCAGCACCCAGCACAACTATGCCTGAAACTGGGAATGGATTCTAGTGGCAGGATCTCTCTGTACCTAGGTTGTTTTTTCCAATTTTTTCAGCATTGGAAAATTTTAGTTTGGTTCAGAAAAAGTCAGTCCAACAGATAAGACAAGGGTAGGGGCCAAGACGCCACCATGGGTGGTTTGGCTGAATTTTCCAGTTTTTACTTGTACTTCCTGTGTGAGTGTATTCAAGCTATTTAATTTATCCATGTCTCCATCCACTCCGAGTGTGCAATGCTGCTTCATTTTTACTGCCATTTTTTTGTAAACAAGTCAGGAAAAAAAAAAATCTATCTCATTATTTTCTTTGGCAACATGTTCCCCCATCCTTAAAAATGATTTTTGGTCCTCCACAGTGTTAATTAGAAATGATTAATGAACTGGTGGCTTTTCAAAAGACAGCAGCATTGTGTGATACTTGGGATGTAAATGTGTCTCAGAGGTAGAAGGAAAATAGGAATATCTGTGAGGGAAAATCCAAACTTCATCTCAGCATTCTCAGTGGTTCTAACCAATAGAGATCCTCATAATTCATTTAGAGTACACTGGGAGTGTTGGGCTCACCCAAATACAAACTACAGCTTAATTTCAGTAGTGAGAAGGCAGCATCTCATGGGTAGAACTGGGAATTGGCTTTGACTCACTCCTGGGTCAGAGGACATTCAAAACTACATTTGCCACTTCCAAGGAAGGTGTCCTAAATACCATATGGGAGTAAGATGTACTTTCTGTATGCCATATTGAAGTTATTTTCCTGCAGAAAGGAGAAATCCGCAAAATTTACTGACAGTCAAAGACAGATGGAGAGAACAGCATGGAAAAATAGGGATATAATGCTAGAGTTGAGAAAAGAGGGACAACAGTGAAAGGGGACACCAGTCCTCACTCTATATGATGTTCCTGTATTTGTGTTAAATGCAAAGTGATTAATATGTGCCACAGTCATCACAACCACTGTTACCTAAATATATATTATTCTTTTTGCCAGTCATTAAATGAATGAATGACATTAAATGAATAAATGGCCAGAGGCATGAATGAATTCTGAGGAAGAAAATGACAGGCTGTGCTTCAGGAACAGGCTCCAAACAGAATATCCCTCTTTGCTGCTAGTGCATAGTGGCACAGCAAGCGAGGATCCCATGTTTTTAGTTTGTTGCTACATTCTAGTCCTCCCTACAGAGTCTGGACAGATTGTGAGAATCTGGCGTTTGAAATGTAAATGCTGTTGTGCCTAATTTCTGACCACCAAGATCTATTACAGGTTCTTAATCATTTCCATGGAATTAAATCTTAATCCCTTTACCCTGAAATTTAAGGTAATAATTTGAATTTTCTGGAAAATGTCTGATACAAAACTCTCTTGGTTTTTCATAGAATACACCACTGGTATAGTTATTTAACTTGCTCAAGAACACCTAGACAAAATTATTTTTTTTGGAAGAACTGGTAATTCAATTTCTTTGCAATAATTTGCATGTAAATAGGCATGCAAAATCTTAATTTTAGTTTCTCTGAAATCACAGCATTCAGTGTAGATATATTAAGGAATTTCAGTGGAGCATGAGATGAGCTCCAGAAATGCTGAATTCTTTAGAGTACCACATTTGTGCTACCACTCAGCAACTAATTCCATTTTTTATGATCTTGCCAAGATGTTCAAACTACATTAATTATGTCAGATTCTTTGATTGGTATTTAAACTGTTTTCACTTCCTTTCAAAAAGGTTGCCACTTTAACTGCCCAAGTGTAAAACACAGTTGCAGAAGGGTTTATGAGTAGTAATGAGACACACTAATCTTACCTGCTCATTCCATGTAGATTCAGATTTGTGTGTCTGAAAATAGTATAATGTGTCTGAGATTAGTATAGTGACATACTCTTGTTTGAATTATGCAGAAGTAGTGCATTAAAAAATATGCATGGAGATTAGTGTCAAAACTTCTTTTCTTTTAGTGGAAAATATCTAGAGGAGAGGGGTCTTAGGTTCAAATTAGGATAATTGCAACTAATTGAATGTAATTTAGAAAACAACGTCTTCTAGAAATCATGGTCAGCTAATGAGTAATCCAGTACATCTAGCAGATGGATTGTAGACTGCAAAGCAATTAATTTGATGTTTCAGTGTCATTTATCTCTGTTCCCAGCTACCAAACATGGAACTCCAATGACACACAATGTCAGGAAACAAGTAGGTGCTGGAATTTTTTGGTGATATTATCATTCTCTGACTGGCTTCTTTAAGCAATCTTTACTCACCAGGTTCAGTTTTCATTCCTTCTGGCACTTAACCACAGGACCAGATCTCATAAAAATAGTATTTAAACAAGCTTCCTACCAAAATTAAGAGGTAGTTTTAAGCATAGAAATGATGTCTATTTGGTTAGCATGGCAAGTTTTTAGTAGCAGGGGTGCCAGTGGTGACTTCTGAGAGAAGATGCTTAAAGCTTCCTCTGTCTGACAGAGCAATTTCAGCTGGCTTCAAATCAGACTTAGACAGACCTGCCAGTGGCCAAGGCCGAGCCTGTCTGTGACGGTGGTAGTGTCTCACTGTAAAGTACTTAAGAAAGGGGTAAAAAACCTGCAAAACAACAACTGCAGCCAAACAAGAGAGTGAGAGTATGTAAGAACCAACACTGCAGACACCAAGCTCAGTGAAGAAGGATGGGGAGGGAGTCTTCCAGATGCTGGAGCAGAGATTTCCCTGTACCCTGTGGTGTAGACCATGGTGAAGCAGCTGTGCCCCTGTAGTCCATGGAGTTCCATGGTAAGCAGAGATCCATCTACAGTCTCTGGAGAGCCACATGCAGGATCAGATGGATGCCCAAAGAAGCCTACACTGGAGCAAGCTCCTGGCAGAACGTGTGGATCCATGGAGAGCCCGTGCTGGAGCAAGTTTTCTGTCAGGTCTTGCAACCCATGGGTGACCCACACTGGAGCATTCTGTTCCTGAAGGACTACTCTCCCTGAAAAAGTCCCATGCTGGAGCAGGTCATAAGGAACTGTAGCAAGTTCCTCACCTTGGAGAAGTTCCTAGCAGATTGTCTTCGGTGAGAGGGACCTCATGCTGGACCAGGGCAAGATTATGAGGAATCCTCTCCCTGAGGAGGACAGAGTGGCAAAGACAAGTTGTGATGAACTGACCACAGCCCCCATTCCCCAGTCAGGAGTAAAGTTAAGGTTGGCAAGACAGAGGGGTAGGGGGAAGGTGTTTTAAGATTTGTTTTTATTTCTCCTTATCCTATTCTAATTCGATTGGTAGTAGGTAAAGTAATTTTTTCCCCAAGTCAAGTCTGTTTTGCCCTTAACAGTAACTGGTGAGTGATCTCTCTCTGTCCTTATCTTGACCCATAAACCTTTTTGGTATATTCTCTCTCCTCTTGTCCAGGTGAGGTGGGAAGTGATAGAGTGGTCTTGGTGGGCACCCATTGTCTTGCCAGGGTCAACCCACTACAAGCAAATATTCTGTTTAACCAATGCTCATTAATATTAGTCTGGTTGAAAACCTATCCAGTTTTATTCATTTTAAAGCATATCAGTTATTAACCAGATTCATTCAGTGATCCACGTCTTTATGTAGCAGGATAAGCACTTGTGCTAACACATGGAAAATCTGTAAATGAGCAACTAAGGCAAAGGTACTGCCTTCTGTGGTATTGCTGTCCTTGTGTTTGACCTCCTTGTCTGTGTGCAAAAGGACAAGAAGTTGGTCCTGCCCAGCCTAGCCCATGGCTTGATGACAAGAAGGATATTCTTTCTTATACTGGACGTGTCAGACCTTTTCTAGAACAAAAGGTTGAATCCGGGTTTCCTAAGCACACCAGGCTCAAGAGGAAGGGAGTATTAAACAAAGCTGCCGAGAGAGTAGGCAATGGCACAGGACTTCTCAATGTACAGCTACATCTTTCTTTACTACAGTGTTATAAACTGGGATAAATACTTGAAATAGCTGCTAAATAGGAGGCTGGCAGCAATCAGTTGGCTTTGTTAAAAAAAAACAGCTCTCCGAGTTCGAGGAGGAGGTGAGTTACGTGTTAAAGTATCAGACTTAAGAAAAATCTTAGGAAGAAAAAGTGAGATAAAATTACATAGCCATGAAAATAGCTGCTTAATCACTCATTTCCCTGCTTCAAGGTACAAAATATACTGCAAAAAAGCCATAGTTGAGAAAAAACTGGACTGTCTCTGTAAAGCCAGGTAGTTATCAAGAGCACTCCCATAACAGAACCTTTAACAACTCAACAAAGCATAATCAGAGAGGAAACAAAATAACCCATCACAAATCAGCTGGTTTTATGCTTTTTTCCTGACCTCTTATTTGTGCAGGACGTTTTAAAGACTGAGATTTCTGGGAGAGGTGAGAAAGGTGCCACACTGGCAAGCCAGACAAGTGTACAGTTGCATTTTAGATGAAGAGCAGCAAGATATTGAGATGTACTGAAAACATCCAACAGTATATGGTTCTTCTCTAAATGGAAGTTCTTATTTCTGACTTGTAGGAACCAAGAAACAACATATTCTGCAGAACAAAGGAAATATTCCTTCTTCTAGGGCAGAGTTTCTCAAAGATATCTTGAATAATCTCAGTGAAGATCCAGGGTCTCAGGAGATCATTTATAACTCTTTAATAAGGAAAAGGTAAGTTTCCTTTGAAGACCTTACAGCACCACCTGAATGACTGCTGCTTTTTAGAGTTTGTAGCTGCCTATTTTTCTCTCTTTTATGTTTGCTTTCCTGGAAGTACATTTAAGAAGCTTCTGTTTGACAATTGGTTTACCAATAATCATGGTTTTAAAGAGTAGTGCCATTTACTCTTATACCAGCCAAACACCATATTATTGAATATTTTTAATATTAATATTTAATGCATTAATTATTTTATTAATTAATTTTAATATTAAAAATGCATTTTTAAATAACTAGTTTTATGCTAGCGTTAATTAGGATTCAGCAAGCCCAGCTACCAGAAACATTATCCCCGAGCTGAAATACAGATGATCTCCTGTAATACATGTGTAAACCGGTATTAGTGTCAGTGTCATGTAAATACTAGAGCAAGACAAGAAAAAGTGTGAAGATAAATTAATTAATGCTAGTGATCTGTTCCAATGTTATGGTAAAAGGAAAAACCTTTCTTTGAATAGCCAGAAAGTTCTGCCCTGGGCTGCATGTTCAGTTTGAAATGATGGGTTAAGAATCACTTACTATCTCTACAAAACCATCTGGAGGCATTCCTCTTTTTCTTCTCATCTGTTTTCTGAAACTAGTCTAGGCCTAAGAATCATGGAAACATTTGGTATTCGTTTATTTTAGATTTTGGAGCACCATACATTTTCAATGGCTCTGAAGTGCATGACCTACTTCACTGCAAGATGTTTTAAATCTTCTGAACCATTTCCATAGGGCAGTCCTTCACAAGGGTGACTGGAAAGAAGACTCATTTAGGTGGAACATGTTCCTTTCTTTGTTTCTCTTCTGCTAGATTCTGGTAGGGGTTTGCATTCCTATTTCAGCTGAGGCTTGTCTCAGCTTAGAAGTCCTCATTTCATTGTGACACAAAATCTGGGGTGCCGTGTCCCATCTCAAAAGAAAAAGGGTTGCAATCAGTGTGTGGGAACATACTGGGGTCTTCGAGAAAAAAACAGGGAACACTGCTGTGGACGTAGGGAGGATAAACAATGTGAGGAGCAGCACAACAGAGAGAATGGTGAAAAACCCCCTAGAGTAGGATCAAGCCTGCCCCACAGCCTCACACTGAGCTCCTGTGTGCCCTCCTGCTGCACCACCGCCCCTGGGGCAGTCTGGTGAGGGCAGCAGGGGCACAACCCCTCAGCCCAGGCAAGCTCTGCCGTGGGCACACCGATGAGTAGGGCTGCAGGAGAGCCCCAGAAGGGACAGCTTGCCCTGCTAGTGAGCCCAGGTGCAAGGCCCCTCAATGCCTTAGACCGAAAGGAGAATAGGCAGCCCAGGATGGGGGATTGGCACCAGGGCTAGGAGACATAAGCTTTATTGGCCCACCCAAAAATTAGCTTTTCTCAATCCAAGTTAGTGCATTCCAGCTGCCTCATTAACAAATAGATAACATGACAGGGAAAAAGTCAGAGAAAACCTACCTGAAGTTGAAAGTGTTTTGTCTTGTTTTCTTTTTAACTGGAGACCTGCTGGAATCCAGAAATGACATTAAACTTCCTTTTAGAAGAGGTAATTGAAAAGAAAAAGACAATCAAAGGATGAACAAATGAAGCCTTTTCTTACTGCTGTATGAATAAAAAATGTTATTAATAAGCCCTTTCATTTCAGGCTTCCACTCTGCAGTCACACATTTTGAATGTATAACCACACAGATGAAAATGTTTACCTCTTAAGTCCTTCACAGCATTGCAGATATTTTTGAAAACAGAGAAAGGAAGCAAAGAAGGCACGGACACAGAATGACAGAGGTCAGTGGGAATATAGATTTAATCAAAAGCCCTTTAAAAATTAGTCTTTTGTTACTTAGTTTTCAGTGTTTGTATTGCATAACCAATTCTTTTTATAAGAATAGCCCGTCTCATTTTGCTGTGTCAATTTTTTTCAAATTTTATTTCACTATACATTTGTGGGTGACTGAAAGGAAAATCTAAATTGCAGCAGTGAGAGCAGCACCCATGTGTTTTGGTTCACATCCAGCTGTTAAGACCTGGAAAAGCTAGAAACAGCAGCAGGCTGGCAAAATAAGAGTGAGAAGCAAAGAGAAAATAAATCAATATCATGCCAAATACAGTTTCACCCTACAGAGCCTTTCTCTCTTTACATTTCTGTGAGGAAAACATTATTTTCATGTATTAATTTTTGGGTTTATATCTAAGTTTTTGTAATATTAATCTATGTCTTTAAGGACGTGCTGACTATTCATTTTGGATATCCAGAGCGCAATGAGAATATAGCAAGTGTTCAGGGTGGCAAATGTTGGTTTCTGTAGCAGTCTTTTGAAAAAATATTGGACAAAACTGATTTTGTCTCTTTGGTACCCTCGGCATGGTTAAAGGTGTTTGAGCGTGCATGTCATTGACTGATGCTGAAATTAAGAGGGTTTCCTCAGAACTGTGATGGTCATAGCACAGAAAAGCAAGCTCTATAAATCTAATTGGCTATACACTACAGCGAGTTTATCCCTATTGCTAATTGTATTAAACTACAAAAGAATTCAAGGATTAATTAGAAATAAAGACCAGGAGATGAACTGAAGTTCTCAAGGGAGACACTGATACGTATTATCCTTGAACTGCATAATTATCGAAATCCTTACTATTTTAAAGTGGTGTGCTCACCTGAATGTAACCCTAATTGCCTCTTTTATTCTTAGCTCCATGGTTTTGTTCAGATTGCTAATCATATTTCAAACCAGAACCACCTGCTGAAGACCTGCAGAAACAAAAGTGGAAGAATTCTTAATGTCCTAATTTGAGAGGAGGTTATAGCACAATATTATTAAGATCAAACTGCTTCATGCTTGAAATCAAGAACAAACCACTCTGACAAAAAAGGTAGGATTCTTTTCCTCAGCTTGTACTCAGATTTTCCCTTAGGTTAAGCTTTACTCAAAAGAGAAGTGGTGCCTGATTAAAAGGTGGGATAAATGAACTCATGTGCTTTCTGAAGGGAAAAACAGACCTCATTTTGATTGTAATACTGTACAGTGTTGGGCTTGTCCTTAGCACATATCTATCCTAGTCCAGAGCAGTACCTGGCACCTGTGAAAGGCTGCAGTAAACACTGGCTGGGTATAATGGGAAGGTACCAGGGACCAACTTGCTCTGGAAAGATCCGCTTTCCCCTCCCTGTCACTTCCCGTGGGCTTTCAAAAGCTTTCCTCCCTTTCTGTGGCTGACTTTTTGTACCACTGTATATCTAAGTAGCATCCTTAAAAAGTGATTGTGCTCCCTTTTAAAAAAGATGTGTTAAACATAAAAGTAAGAAGTTCTGAAATACATATTGATAAGCTTAAAAAAAAAAAAGGCAGAGAAGTACCTTGCAGGCAGTCTTAAAAAAAAGGCAGTAGAATAAACCTTTAGATCTGTTTCTTTCATCCAAGCTCCAATTGCAATGACTGAGAAACCTTGCTCATTCATGTCAATGCAAATATGTGACTGTTGTATTTGAATATCAAACAACTGGTATTCTTTCTGGCTTTTTTTTTCCTTTATTTTTTTCATGCCAACAAGAATATGATGTATTTTACTACTTTTGAGAAGAACTATTGGTACTATACAGGTACAGAACAACAGGAAAAATTAAATTTTGATATTATTCTGATCTAAACTGAATAATATTCCTGTGTCCTTCCTGTATTTATGCGTAAATATACACTGGGGATTCTGGATATCTGGGGCCCTGATCCAACACTCACTCAGTGTCAGTATTGTGCTTTATTACAGGGGAAACTCTTGCAGCCCAGCAGTGATGAATCTTGATGTTCTCAGCTGCTAAACAGACCTGAGCATTGGCCCAGAGAGAAACAGTCTCAGTAACCACTGCTTTTCCAGCAGCAGCTGTGAGCCTGCCCACTGCTTGATGTGTAATGCATTTGTCATACAGCTTGGGCTGAGAGAAGTCAAACAGAGTAAAAATCTATTGTCTGAAGCTTCAAGCAGAAGGGAGGTAACTACTTAACTTCTCTCCTGATGCTGATGTGAGCACAGCATGAACTGTTCATAGGTGGTGATTGATAAGAGGATTTGTGGTGGGGCTCCTTACCTGAGGTGAGGTTTTTATTGTAACACCAGGTAAGCAAACATTATTAGAGGGGTGGATTTGATATTGCAGTGCTTGAAGCTTTCTTAGAAAAATGTATTAAAGCAAAGTGATTGTGGAGTGAGGGACAGACAAAGAGAGTGGATTTTAGCACATTCTTTTAGAGGGATTGAAAAAAACCCTTCCGTTCCCAAGCACTCTGAGTAATGCATGGCTCTTTTGGGTCATTGGCTTCAGCTGTTTGGAAAACACTGGGTCTTACTAAGACTTTGTGCTAGTCAGGTGGCAATGTGGACAATCATCTGGCAAAGAGATCCACAATTTTCACTGTAATTATAAAGACAGATACCATTTCTGATTTTTTTTTTTTTCTGCTTTATCTCTTTGTACTCATAGAAGGATTTGGGGGCAGATGAAATGTCACAGTGCACATGACTGAAATGTGTGAAAACTTAATTAACAGAATAATTACACAGTAGAAATGAGATCTTGTCTCAGTGAAAATCTGGCAGGAAGCTTGGGCCCTATGGAATATGAGTCCACATATGTAGTCAGTGGAAAAGCCATTAGTCACAAAGTGGCTGCATCTGCTGGAAAGAGTTAATCAGGTCTCTAACTTCAAAGAACACAGTATGCCTTAAAATACCCTTCTCCAGGCTTCTCAGGCATGCTGTAAAGGAATATGTGATTTTCTCCCAGCTACTGGGGTAAATCTGCATAGCTCAATTAACTTCATAAGTTGATTTATGCCAGTTACACCAACAGAGGACCTGGACAAAACCTGATAGCATCTCTGTATCTAATAGTCCAGCAAGGTGTATGAAAATTGGGCATTATTCTGCACCAGCCATCCCTTTGCAGCCAGAATGAATAGCAGAAGGATTTGTGATTTATTAAATGAACTCCTTCTCTACAAAGTTGAATCTACGCTGCCTCCCATGAGTTTCTGCACTGGCAGTCTATGTGATTCTTCTGCATATCATACATTTTCTGTGAAAAATTTTAAGATAATCAGACAGTCAGTGTAATTTTCTTGATATCTGGTTAGAGACACATTGCCTAATCATTTTACTCTTATCAGTCAAAATTTACATCATGCCAGAAATTGATCACCTTACTTTTTATTTTCTAGCTTCCTAAAATATTTTTATTTTTGCCTGCTGGACAGATTGAACTCCTAAGAATTAATTTGAAAATAAATGAGTATAGATATTCATTGCAGTTCATTTTTTAAGCAGAGTGTGAGTATAAATCTAGAGGTTTTTAGTATTCCTCTTTCATGTTATTATACATATAGGGCAATATTTAGGCCACTGAGTTGAAGCAAATCCTGAAGTGTGATTATCTTCTCATTGAAATGCTATCTATTGTGCCTATTTGTTTGATGTGTTTTTCTTGTACATTGTATTTCTGATGGCTCTGGGGTAAAATAATCATTATATGTCACCCATACTATCTCTTTTAATCTCCAGAAGATTAAGCATGTTTATTTAAAAACCCCTTTGATAGTGTCTTTACTAACTCAGCTATTTTATAAAATTGGAAATAATGAATCAGGGAGATGCAATTTTGATAATGCCATTTACACAACTCCTATGAGGCTAGCTAGGAAAATAACTGAAGTAAGTATCAGACATACACATTGTGAGAATGGGAAAAATATTGTAATTTCATGTAGGTTATGAGGCACTGGAAAAATACAGTCAGCAAAAGCAGTTAATGAATTGCATTCTTCAGGGACTGCTGGACTGAGGAGATGGGTCATGGGATCAGGAATGGTTCCTTTAATCTCTTTGTCACTGGTTCAAATCCAATCTCTGGGTCACTGGTTCAAATCCAATATGGATAGATAGTAATTAGAAATCATTGTTATTTGAGGGCTCTGAGATGAACCTTTTGAAACTGAGCTGGTGAAGGGACACTGCAAAGCAAACCACCCCAAAACCTAGAATATCTGGAAAGATCACATGCTTCATAGCCAGTAGACAAACTTCAGAGACTTACTGGAGCTGGGTGTGGGCTGCTTGTAGCTGTTGGTGTGAAATGAGTACACGTCCATTGCTCAAGGGATGCACTTCTGAGCTTGTGAAACCAGGCTCTGCAGAGACAGACACTTGTGATACTTCCTGAACCAAAGGTTACACACTACTGGGAAGTCCATACTACTCCCCTGCAGTTACAGCTCTTGTCTGGTGCTCTAGTTTCTGTCTAGGTGGGACAGAACACCATGGAATGCCACTCCTCCTCACTCATCCTGAGGAGGTTGTTAAGTCCCAGGCTCTGGGAGCTCTCTAATGCCCAGCTACCCATTATGAGCTGGTAAAGACAGGGCATGCTTTATCCTGTGGGCTTCCTGAGTGCCAGGTGTGACACCATGCAGTGGTGTGAGCACCAATGTCATGCATCACCAGTCTGGAGTTTCAGACTACAAGAGGGACCTGGGAGGTCCCAGTGCCCCTGTGGTTTGTAGTATTTAAGTCATCCCAAAGGAGGGTTGCAGAGGAGGCCGTGTGAGTGGAAAGGCACATACAGGGCATCACATTCCAGTCAGCACTTCAGCAGGCTACCAGAAGATGTGCTTTAGAAATAAAGTCTGTAAGGCTGAAATGTACTCAGACAAACTGCTTATACCTGACACTAAGGGAATCAAATTTGTACTTTTTTTTTCCTATCAGTGCAAAATCAGAGTGAGAGGACTTTTAAGTCAATCATGGGGTCATACTGTCTGCTTTCCCAAAAAAAACCTCTTGACAGGAGCCATGTTAGTTGGCACAGGACTATGTTTTTTGAGTATATATACCCTTGTTGTCTGAAACTTTGTATGCTTTTAATCTGTAAATCCAAATTCTTTGGAATTTGTATAAGACTGTGGAAGGAGCTTTTGTTTCTGTGAAGTACTGGGTTCTGTAGCAACCAAATCAAAGACTGGAGAGATTAATCTATTTCAGCCATCAGAAACTGTGATTTGGCATATAGTGAGAACAGCTGAGACAGTGGGGGAAATTTCACACAGATTCTGTCCTGCTAGCTGTTAAAGCAATTCCATTTGCGCTCTGCATTTCGTTATTTTCTAGAAAATAAACTCACCAAGCTACCCAGATTAGCTAGCCTTGGAAAAACTGAGGTTATTTTTAATACAAGAGTTATTCTTATTCCCTAAGGGGAAGAAAAAGGGAAGGAAGAAAAAACTACGCTCAGAAGAACAGAAAAACAGGAGTTGGGTATACTGTTAATTAATACCCCAGTCCATGCCTTGGCCCAGATGTGAATGGCCCATCCTCATAGCAAGGGGAAAAAACCCTGGCTCATTTTCAGATATGTGAAAACACAAAATTTCCAATAAGCAAGACATAACTCACCGGGCTCTGGGAATTCTTTCCACAATGACCTGCAAAATTAAAGTCTGCATTGCCTTCTTGGCCCAAGAGAAGTTAATGGCAAAGCAGCTGCTAGCATCCATTAACTGTATTTAAGTGCTGCTTATAAGGGAAAGACTAAAGTGCCTTTTGGGCACTGGGAAGTAAGATATAAATACGTGTTAGCCATTATCAACATGAATACTTGCAACAAACTGCCTTCAGGGACTGAAAGCTGTAGTCACATATTTCAGGTATCACTGATAACTATACGTGTAAAAAGAGCAACCTATCACAGGAAATATACTGTAGGGGATGGTTTTTCATTTGAATATGAAATGAGGTCTTCACTTAATGATCAAATTTCTTGGACCTTTCAGTCATGTTGCCTGAAATATCAAAACAAAGAAATTGTCAATTACTTTTATGTCAGGGAATTCATATGAATGTTTTGTAAAGAGAGTATTTTTATTTTCCTCTTTCTCTTAGAAATTTTATCTTTTTCTCCTCTAAAAAAAAGTTCCCTGTATGTTGAATCTCAGTTTTTACTAAGTCTTCTTGTCAAGGCAATCCTTAGTTTCAGAAAAATTAGCAAGCACCAGTGACAGACCTTCATGATCCTTTTTTCATTTGTACCTGGGCTGAGTTTTGATAAACTATGGGTAGAGAGAGAAAGGAAGGCAGAAGGCAAGCAAGCAAGAAAGAAAGAAAAAATTTGGAATAGTGGAACATTATATGCATTTCATTTTTGTAATACATTTAGGGATGGAAAGAAAAAAAGTGTAATGAAAACAGGAAAAGCCATTCTGTAAGCTGTTGATAGAGTGTGTTGGTTTTCCTATGGATTTGAATTTGGGGTTGTTTAGAGCTCTGATGAAAAATCCCTAAGTCCTGGAACATTTTAAAGTGTTTATTTCTTGCATGAACTCTTTGATGTGTAAATAGGTGAATGTACATTGCTGTCTCTTCTCCACAGAGCCACTGACAGGGTCTCACTCCTCCTGCTCAGCCTTCCCAAGCTTGTTCTGAAGATAGCCAAGAAATCTGCAGAGCTTTCATTATTTCTGAGGATTCTGTATCTTTCATTTAACTCAGGAAAGAGATACAAATTTGAGGAAGCAAGGAACAAACCAGTGTGCAAGTAGCACACATGATTCTTTAAATCATGAGTTTTCATTGATAAAAGTAAAATTAATTTTTTCATTGATGGCACTTGATGTTTCAGTTTTACTTCAGATTTCTTGTAAAATTTAGCCAAAATATAAGTAAATGCTACGTTCTAGTGAATTCTTTCTTTTTTTTTTTTTTTATTTTATTTTCCTTTCCTTCTGTCCTAAAGCTCCATCTGTTCTTTTTTAAGAAACAGAGAGTCAAAGAAATGTTCCTCTCTCCTCTGGTCCCAAAGCAGATCATCTGTTTGGCCTGTCCTGAGTTGACCTGGCATATAATGGGCTACTGAGGAGGCTCAGTTCTGAGCTCTCATTGGCACCAGTGAGAAGCTCTTCATGGTTTTGCTGCAAAGATCAGGATGACTACTGGACCTGGACTGTCAGTACAGATGGGAACGAATTCTTTGCCACCAGATGTCTAATAACATTGACTGAGATACAGCAAATATAATTTGCTTTTGCCTGTCGCTGAGGAAAACTTAGTTCACCATTAATTCAACTATTCCTTGTAAGACATTTTTTTTCAAGAATGGCTTTTCTCTGTGGTGTAAGCAAAACAAATATTCCCTCTGGGATGAATCCCTGCTCCTGCTTCTCTACAAGTAAATGCTCTTCTCATTCTCTTCCAGCACAGAAAGTTGTCCTGACAAGATTGCTGAAAGCAATGGGCTTCACATGACAGATGTTCCACAAGAAAGCCAAAGCAAAGAGCTACTTGACTTACTGGTGCTATCATACTTTATAAGTAGCAAATTGTTACAGAGACAAGATGATAAAGAAATGCATCTAGGACATAGCAGGCCGCCAATTT